AAAAAAAAAAAGAAAAGTAGACAATTTCTGAAACCCTGTTAAAGGCAGCTGAATACTTTCGAGGTGTTATATGGCATCAGTATCACAGGTTTATGATTTGCTGTCAGTTTGTTTTCAGTTTCACAAATCAGCTGTTATAGCCAACAGCAACAGCACCATCATCATTATCCACTTTCTAAATCTTCCTTTAGTTTAAGATTACAAAGTTAGAAAAAAAAAACGGAATATCATAACTAAAAAAAAAAAATTTTTTTCTTGTCATTTAGGAATTGGCAATTGTTTTCCTTCTAATATTATTCTTCTATTTTTATTTCCATTTTTTACCGTTTCTTATTGTATCTTTGTGGAGTTTCACCTGTAGTTTTTGCAAAAAGAAACAAACCTCCCACTGAATATGGTGTACAACTTTAAAATCTGAGAAACATTACACCGTAGAGATGATCAATAAATGTGAAGAAAAAGTTTAGAGCAGCTGATTTTGAATATGTTAAAAAAAAAATTATTGTACCCCAAAAAAATACCCGTAGAAGTAATTAAAATGTTTCTGATGTTTGATCTTTGAAAAAAAAATTGATTGATATTTGTCATCCAATAATTAAATTTATTATTTCATTCACTATCTTATTCTTTCCCCCCCTCCCCCCCTCCCCCCCCCCAAAAAAAAAGCTTTTTTTTAAATTTATTCAACTGAAACTTTGAAATAATAAGAATTTTTTTTGAAGCAAAACGAAAAAGCACCAAAATTAGAATAACAGAGTAAGAAGAGGAGAAAAAACAAATGATTGATACAATGAAGATAAAATTGGGGAAAAACTTATATTCGCATTTCTTTTCCACACTTTATCCTGCTTGTTTCGTCTGTTCTCAAAAGGATAAATTTGTAAACGAATGTCTGACTGAATAAATGTCTGGACAACTGAATGAATGAATGAATCAATAGATGAATAAGTGGATAAACGAGTGAAAGTATGAATGGGTAAACATATGAGAATCGGTAATAATAACTATAATATGTCGAATAAAATTTGTCTATCTTTCAGTGTTGCAGTTATGCTAATTGTTGTTGGCCTACTGCTTGGCTGCTGTTGTATCTGTATTGCTGGTATTCTACGGTCAAAAAAAACTTCTGGTAACAACAACAAAAACAGAATTAATTCCCGTACAACAGCAATACCACCACCAACAACAACGGCAGCAGAACCCCATGAACCATCTGCTGTATCCAGCAGTCAACTGGAGGCTATTGAAACAACACAGTTTCCTAGATCGCCATTATATCGTCCACAACAGCTAGCTGATGTTTATGCAATCCCAATGCCACGACTTCATCGTGCCCACGAATTGAGCTCTGCACAAACAACATCTCAAGCATCATCATTTCGAATTTAACTGTTTCTATATACTTCTATTTGCATGCCGTTGTCAAATGAAATTGTTGTTCCTGCATCTGATAGAATTATGGAATTTACAAAGCTGCAAGCATATTGTGTTCCTTGTATACTTGTTTATGTAGGAATCTGTGTGCTGTATCTTCCCCTTACTGTTTTGTGCAGCAATTTTAAAACAAAAAAGAGTAGTTATCGCCGTCCGGTTTCGGTGGTCAGTTATTGCACAGAAAGCATATATTGACTGTACATAGTCTTTGTCTCCATAAAAACTGATGAAGATTACTAAGAGTACTGTTTAGGAATGGCTATTTTTTGAAGTTCTCTCTACTTAACGCCCAACTCTTGCATTATGCTCAATCAATACCTGTTTCTCGTCAGAACGCTTACGTTTGCCCCATTTTAACCTATTCAACACTTCTCTTAAGCAGTCTTTCTTGAATTTCTTTTTCAGTTCAAAAAAACCAATACAATTCTTTCCTAAATCCAAAAGAAAACGAAATAAGGCGTCATCCTCAAAATCTGAAAAAATGATCTTTCAACCACGATTGCATTATTATACACCTCAAGTTATTTGTAGGTCCCCCAGCACTTATTCCTAAAAAAACTTCTTGCATGCTGTGAAAAATATGAAAATGGTGCCTTTTTTTTCTCCTTCTGAGATGTATCCTTGTAGGCGAATGAAAAAAAAAAACAGTGCAATTCAAAATAAAAAATTTTTTTTCTTAAACGATATATGAATAGGCAAAATTATAGTTCAAAATTGACAAACAACGAATGGACAAGCGCCAGAAATGTTCTGAATACACCGGAAAATTGTAGAATACAAAATGAATTTGCGAAATTAAAATGTTGGAATTCAAAACAAGAAAAGTCTCTTTTCTTCTTTTGAAACTGCAAACAGTGTACTGTCAATGACGTGCAACTTCTGATGCTAACAATATACTGCTCAAAAACTTTTTTTTCCTTTGCTTCATTTTCAAGACCTCAACTAACTGTACACTTTTAGTTTACCTAACAGCACTAATCAAACTACTGATATATCAAATTAGTTCTATCACTACTACTACTATTCAACGACAGCACTTGACACAGCTACTTCGACCTCACCATCACCACCACTACCATCATCATCATCATAATCATTATCATCATCATCGCTATCTTTTTTAATCTTATGATGGTGAGTAATCAACAAATTTCTAACCACTAACTGCCTACTACCAAACTTACTGCCAAATCTCCTATTCGAGCATCTGCATTGCCACCAATATCGCCATTGTTACTGCTATCAACACTGTTTGCTGTCCAATAAACAGTATTTGAAATGTAAACGGAACAATTATAAAATAGTAGTAAGGAAAATTACAAAATCAGAATAGACAAAAAAGGAGACAAAAAAAAAAAAAGGGAGAAAAGAAATAATCAAAAAAGAAAATAATTCATCAAAAAATTACAACTTCCATTTTATCTTCATAGTACAATAATAGTAATAATAATACAGTAGAAGTAATAATGATAATACGAATAATAAAAATAATGATGGTGATAATAATAGTAATAATAATGATATTAATAATCATAATAAAATAATAATAATAATAATAATAATAATAATAAT